TCGAGCCGGTTATCTCGTTCGACTGCAACAATACTGTCGATTCGCAGTTCGACATGCCGCTGACTCGAAAGGCGTTCATCTTCCACGTCTTCTCAAACATTTTTGAAGTCCCTCACCCGAATGCTGAGCTTGACAGGGAGCTCATTGACTTTTATCTGGCGGCTGCTCGTCCTCAATTCCTCACTTGGAGCGCCCAGAAGATTGTAAACGTTCGGGTGCTGAAACCTTATACCGAAGGTCGTTTTATAAACGTTCGGTTCAAGTTGATTCGGGGATCTGCAAGAACTGCTCATATTATCTCCCTGGCAGATCTACCGAATCTAAATCCTCATGATTGGATTGTCCTGTATAATATCCTTTTGACTAATGAAGCCGAATATGGTCCCATTCTAGACCATGTCAAAAGGATGTTAGCCTGCTACATCATGGAGGTTGCCCTAATGGATCAGGAGGTCGCCACAGTCTTCAAGAAGAAACCAAAGATTGCTCCTGTGGGATCGGCCAGTGATCTCAACCAAATGCAATTGGGCAGGATCGACCCGAGACGCAACTCGGTTATGTTCACTAGAGCGGAAGGACAGAAATGTCTCTTCGCTTTAGCTGACAAGCACCTTTACACCACAACTTGTTTGGAGCATGTGTTATTCATTATCAAACGGTGTAAAGAGAACACGGCTGATGACATCAAGTACTTCAATGATATGATCAATTGGTACATCCGGTTTAGACAGACCATTCTCTCCATCACCAAATGTCTGTTTAGCACCGTGAAGAAGAAGGTACCTGCTTCAGCTGCTGGCCCAAGTAACTAGTGAAGATCTCGCTCCAAATTGACGCAAAGGGGGAGATTGTTGGGCTGAAGATTATTTTGAAGATTGCGTCTTTTGGGCTCGATAGTATAAGTTACTTTGCATTCCGGTTTGGGCCTGTCCAACCGAGAACCTTTTATGTTTTGTATATAAGTTTACGCTTGCATGCTTATTAGGTTAACGATTTTAGAGATTAACGACATAGCGTTTCATCTAGAGTATAACAGGTTTCTTTAATCGTTCTTGTAACCTACCAATCCTCTACAGTTGATGTTCTTAATCGAGCTCTTATGAGGATTTTGTTTAATCATTCGACACGTTTGATTCCATCTTGACTTGTTTTTATTATTGCGTTCATACAGTTTTATATTTACATACTTGTTCAAGATCTAATCGATCTTTGTAGATTAAAGGTTGGTTTAATCGCATCAAGTTTTAATTAAAAATTTAAATCCCAAAGGACAAATTACACGAATAGTCCCTATGGTTTGGTGTTTGTTACGCGCCTAGTCCCTAACTCCATTTTTTAACCCTGCCAATCCTTAATAGTTTGGTTTAGTGCACACCTGGTCCCTCATCTAACCTTCCGTTTGATTTTGGAGTTAAAACCCCCATGTGCCTTGCACCTTGAGGGTTATTTCCATCATTTTACTTATTCATCCTTTAAAAACCCTAGATCAGTGCATCCCCCTTTTCTTCCTCTACGTTTGTTCTCTCATTTCATCTCTCGTTTCTTTAATGGACAAAAAATCAACAATGATGAAATGTAATTGCGGGCAACCAAGTGTTATACTGACATCATGGACCGACGACAATCCCGGAAGATAGTTTTATGGCTGCACAAAGAAGGTAAGGTCGTTTTGATTCTAACTCAAGCTTTTTGTGTGACAATGACCGCAAATCTGTTGGATTTGAACTTGACAGGGACCTAAATGTAAGTTTATTGGATGGGTTGATGAGGAAGGATGTGGACGATGTACTAGGATAATTCCAGGGCTGTTGAAGGCTAAGAACAAAGTTGAAGCTGAGAATCGGCTGCTGAAGATAATCATTATTTTAAGTTGGGTGTTCATAGGAATCATTATTTACAAGTTGTAGTGCTTAAGAAGATCCAACTAGTATGCTATGTATGATGTTTCTTTTTTTTTTAACTTATTTTGACTTCTATGATCCATCTAGATGGTTGTTGTATGTGAATTTGAAGTGTTTCTGGAATGTATTTTGATTAAGTGTTTGTGAATTTGATAATATTTTGGTTAAGTGTTTGATTAAGTGTTTTTGGAGCTTATTTTGACTTCTATGAGCCATGTATTTTCATCAAGTGTTTCTGGAACTTATTTGGAAAAGTAAACACTAACAATTGACAAAAACAACCAATAACATATGCTAACAATCGACATAAACAACCAATAGCACAAGTGGGATTTAATAAAGGGTAATTTAGTTTCCATACTTTCCATAACATAGTTTCATACATCAACAAAATGGTTAATAGTTTCATACATCAACAAAATGGTTAACCAAAAGAAACATAATTTACCCAAAAGTATTAACCATAAGGACACAGTTTTACCAAAAAGACACAATTTAACCAAAAGAACTGATTAACCAACAAAATAAACTTTCACTAATAGATCAAGACCATGTCATCAATTTCCCTCAACCAGCTTTTCCTTTTCCCTTACCAGAACCACCAGGACCACCAGAACACTAGGAGCACTAGCTTTTTGTCCCTTACAACTCCTTGCATTATGACCAATGTTGTTGCACTTTGAACAAGTAACCGACTGAAGGATTCTTGATGCACTATTACCCTTCACCATGTCATCAATTTCATAAGCTGATTTTCTACGTTTCTTCTTTGGTCTACCTATTGTGACATGATTTTTAGGAGGAACCAAAGTTGTTGGACACACAGACTTTTCCCACATGCTTCTCCCATTAATGGGCTCAATTTTGAATGAGTACATTCTGTTTCCAAGTTTTTAGCCAATATACCTCATGCACCCAAGTTTCTGGTATTCCAACATCCTTACTATTCTTCCTCATCTCCCATATAGTAGCAACAACATGTTTGCATGGCATCCCAGTGAGTTCCATTTCCTGCAGGAGCATGTTTGTTGAACCACATCCACCGCGCATTGGTCCATCCAAGGGCCACTTACCTGATACTTACCATTTCCACAAAATACAGATCTATAATCTTCTTCCTTCTTTTTTATATTTTCCAAAGTCTGCATAGTTGTAGGTGTCAAAGGACCAGTACATTTCCCAATGACCTTTTCTACATTCACAATCTTCTTCATTAGATATTCCCTAATGAACTCTAGGCAAGAAATAATTGGTTTATCACGAACCTCATTCAGTTTTCCATTGAATGTTTCACACAAGTTATTAAGAATCACATCACAATGTGCTCTCCCTGTCCAATCACATCACTTAAAGTCAATTCAAAAAAACTACACAAACCAGGAAAACATAAAGAATGTTATTAGAGTTAAATGTTATACCAGTGAAATGGGACCTAGACCAGTGCTGAGGTGGTATCTTCTTAAGCCACTCATAACAATCCTTGTTTAATTTCTTTAGCTCTTCCATGCCTTTGTTAAACTGTTGTACATGTGTTGCAGTTGCACATGTCCATAAGAGGTCTTCGAAAGGTTTACCCCTCCATTGCTTCCTCATGTTATCCCGAATGTGACGAACACAGTAACGATTTTCAGCACAAGGAAACAAGGCTGCAATTGCATTTAGAATACCCTAACAATCATACATAGATTTTGTTAGTAAACAATTTAGAAATAAAGTAAAAAAATCTATGATTTTAGTACCTTTTGTCTGTCTGTTATAAAAGTGAAATTAGAATTGGTATTCAAGCCAAGATCCTCCCCAAGACAACTCAAAAACCAAGTCCATGAACTGATGTTCTCTGTTTCAACCACCGCATATGCCAATGGATATGTGCCATTATTACCATCTAGTCCCTGCATTTTATGATAAATAACAATCATGAATAGATTTTTACTTATTTTTATGTATAACAATAAGTAAAAGAACCATAATAAAACTTACCACGGCTAAAAGAATTTGTCCTGGAAATGGACCCTTCATGAAAGCACCATCAAAGCCAAGAAAATCCCTCTTTCCAGCTGCGAAGCCTTTCTTTAAAGCTCCCAAGCATATGTAAATGCGTCTGAATGTCCTCGTTTCACTGTGTGGATTTCCTTCGCTTTCAACATCAACCCTAACAGTCGTATCTGGGTTACGAGTTTGCAACTCAACAATGTAATCTCTGAGTAAACTATACTGAGTAACGAAATCTCCTTGCACAAGGTTTAGAGCCTCAGATTTTCCCTAAATGTTTTCATCCTAGAAAGATCTACCTTAAACCTCCGTTGTAGCTGTTCTTGCAAAGCCCTAATTGGAATAGTAGGGTTACTTTCAACCTGTTCAACAATTTAGAAGAGAGGAATTTATACGTACATGCTTTTACTGTTCTAGTTTGAAGACATTTATGGACTTTGTTGTACGTTTTAACTGTCCAGTTGACATCTTTTTTCCATTTACTAGCTAATAAGACCCAAGGACATATTTCTTCTTCATCGTTGACTTCTACATTAGGCCCAAGCTTTGGTATTGTTCCCTTACAAACCCATCTCACTCTATTCTTGTCATTTTTTTCAAGGGCCAGCTCCCTTCTAGTCTCTATGGCATGGAGTTTTACCTTATCCTTAAACCTTTGCTGAACCAAATTTTTGAAAAATATAGAAGGGTTCACTAACAAGTGCTTCATCATTCTCATGTGCCCTTTGAATTGCTCTTATTGATTTCTTTCTTTGACCATTAATCCCCTCATCTGATGATGAATCAGATGCTAAAAAGTCAGTGTTAATCACCTCTAAAGCTTCATCCTGTGTGCCTTCATCAACCACAGTGTTAGACGACCCTCCAACCCATTCCACATCTTTGTCGATATTCATTTCAAAATCTTGCATATCCACATTAATATCATCCAATATATTTTCAATGTCCACAAAAAAATCACTATCATCACTTTCATCATTGTCACTCTCTAACTCACCAAACTTACCAAAGTCATTAGCATCATTAACCAAGTCATTCTCCATATGATCAGTGAGAGTAGCATCATTACCCAAATCATTCTCCATATGATCAGTGAGAGTAGCATCATTACCCAAATCCTTCTCTTAGATGACCAGTGGGTGTAGGATCATTACCCAATTCTTTCTCCATGTGATCCATGTCATCCTCCAAGTCAACAGCAGGTGTGCTATGCCACTCCAGGAACAGTCTCTTTGAACAAGATGGAGGTTCAGTAATCTCCATTATACGAACTTTACTGTGGGTTGGGAAACATTAAATAGGTGTGCAGAGTAGTTTTGTCATGCTCTATATATACCTCAATTAACTTATGCTTAGCCACAAAACTCCCCAAATAACGAACATCTTCATCACTAGCTAAAGCGAATAACCCAAAATCTAAATCGCCTAAAGGCCTTTGAAAGTGATAGTAAAGTGGTTTACCTATTGAAGCATACCCTAGGTCTTCCATCATCTCATCAATGTCATGAACGGAAAAGGTATCAATGTCTACTAAATCAACAAATGTTTGCTTCCCACGAATATACTTCCTTCCAGGAAAGCTTGTAAACTCACCTCCATGGTTCATTCTTATTGAAAACATTGTCGGATGTCCAGCTGTAGAGGAGAGAATCGTTTTTAGCTAACAAAATTAAACCTTTAACAATCAATATCATTCAAACGAAAGTCAATCAAACATACCATAACTTTGATCAACGTCGATTTCAGCCATTTCACCACGAATGCGCCACAAAACCATTGCAATTCTTTGTTCTTGTAATCGTCGCTACTAGGGTTTTCACGTAAGGATTTTGCACATAGTTGTGTGTTTTTTTGGGTATACGATTGTGTAATGTAGAGTATGATCGTTTAATTGAACGCACCGATTTCTTAAACTGGCGGTATGAAGAATAAGTAAAATGATGGAAATACCCCTCAACGTGCAAGGCACGTGGGGGTTTTAACTCCAAAATCAAATCGAAGGTTAGATGAGGGACCAGGCGTGCACTAAAACAAACCATTAAGGATTGGCAGGGTTAAAAAATGGAGTTAGGGACTAGGCGCGTAACAAACACCAAACCATAGGGACCATTCGTGTAATTTGTCCAATCCCAAAACTTGAGGGCAAGTTTTGAAACTTTTCAAAACATCTTGTAGATGAAAACTGAAAAATAATGAAATAATCATATTATTAATCTTTATGACATAATTTGACCTAATCTATTTTCTTGACAAGATAATTCAAATCAAAATACAAATAATTACTCTTTATCATATAAAACAAGTAATTATCTTATTTATGACAATTATCTTTTAATTGTATTAGGATAATCAATACCATATTGAAAAGAATCGAATTGTATCCATAAAAAATGTTTTTGGTAATAATCCTAATTCAATTTCAGTGAAAATCCAGAAAAATTAGGCATTTGACGACCCGACTCTCCGTGTCATTGACTGGTCTCGTCGAGTTCATCAGGCGACTCGATGATTTCATCAGTTAGATGCATAATTTTTCAATTTTTCAGCTTTGAACAAATTAGTAATGCATCAAAGACAATAGAAAAACAACCTAGGCTCTGATACCACTATTAGGTTATGAGCAGAACATCAATCTTAAGGTGGACATGCAAACCCTAAAGCTTTGGATCTTGGTTTTTCTAATTATACATGCAACAATCATCCAAAGCTTGTAAACCCTAGATCTAGCATACCAAAATCGAAATTACATCTAATAAACAAGTTAGAGTGTTACCTTTGATTGTAGCTTGACGATCTTGAGATTATGAGAACCTAGCACCTCAAATGCAATGTCTCTAATGAATCACAAAGACCAAAGCAATGGGAGAAACTTAGAGAGAGAGGGAGGAGGCTTAAAACTTGGCTAGCAGTCCTTCTAGGGTTCGGGTACCTGAAGATTAGATGCCGAAGGGATCTTTATATAGGTGAGGAATTAGGGTTTTAGTCAAAGACCTAATCTGGTTGCTTAGGCTCTAAGCAGCCCATAAGAATCTTGCAGAACCTTAGCCCTTGGACGAAATCCTTATGGGCTCCCATAAAATTTCATCCAACCATTTCTAAAGGGTTCATCAACCCATTGTGCAACTATCTTATAATTACAACTTCAGTCCCCTTAATTCAATTATCCTCTATTGACAAAAAAATTAATTCTAAATTAATTATTGACCAATGTTAATTAAATTATCTGATTTCTCCTTTTATATATTATTCATAGAATATATCAATAAATCATAATAACATCTTTCTCCATTATTCTTGCAGTCAAGTGGCTTTGGTGAAGGCAACCCAAAAAGACCATGCTATCATCGGGTCAAGTACATACCAAATATAGTTATGGGCTTACACACCTAATCCAACACTAGTTACATGTCTAACTAGAAGGTTACTCAAAGTGATCAAATAAATATACATGACATATATTTATACCTTATGAATATAACTGGTTTGGTTCTCTTTTATTGTAGTTTCATAGAAAATATAATTTCCGAATTAGTTGTTAACTATTATTTTATAGAATAATAATTCTCCAATACAAGTGTTGATTTTATTTGTTAATAATTAAATTACATTAATAGATAATCAGTTAGTAGTAACTTGCTATAAGGTATGACCTTATAAGATCATATTGATGGGTTTTCTAGATAATTTCAATGTACTTAGGGGATTTCACATAACTAACTTATGGGCACATGCAACCTAGAAAATTCTATGGCTTTTCTCATAATAGCATCATACTTTTGAAACTTCTAAATAACCTTAGCAAATATCAAAAATCACAAACGTGCAAACCACATACCTTATTGTTATTATCGTAAATAACAATGTACTTTGAAGAACCCTTCTTGGAATGCTTGCCCCAATAGTATGGATGCCTCTAATGAATCACACCCAAACCCTACGAAAACACTAGGATCAAAATACGAGAGGAGATATGAGAACTTTAAAATTGCCTTGTACTTTTCCAAGGGTCTTGAGTCTTATGCAGGTCTCTATTTATAGTTGTATGAAACCCTAATTTCAATTCAAGATAAAAATATGATATTGTAATTCAAATTTTTCTTTCCTTGTGAACCAAGAAAGCTTCAAGAAGACCTAGAAGGGCACCTGAAAATCATCCCCTCTTAGCAAGGTTCTGAATGCTTCCTTGTTCAACTTTTGAACAATTACACTCTAAACCTTAAACATGTTAATTAATTCTAATTAAACAATTAATAAAATTAACTCTGATTAATTCTTAATTAATTACTTCTATTTATAATTCATATATTAATCCAATAATATGTTAACAAGTTAATTGTCTCTCTCTTATTATCAATCCAAGCCATTTCCTGGTTATGAGGGTATCCCAAAAGGACTTTACTATTATTCAACCAATTATAGCAATTTAGTTAAGACCTTAGACACCTTAATCCAACAAATATGCCCCTAGAAAATATCATTGTATAATCATTATTAGGCATAAAGATCTTTTAATCTCCCACTTACATAGGACTCATCATAGATTGGTATAAAAAATGGTGAACATCGAACAATATTTCAGTGCCCCTAATAACACACGATAAAGAACATCATTCATCAACATCTAATTCCCAAAAGCCCAAAGTTGTAATTGATGTATAAGCTAAGTTTAGCATTTATCCCTTTGTTATTGGCATCATTTTGAACATGAGACTTGGATCGTAATCAACCTCATTTTATGTTCAACTCTGGGTTGACACACATTAGATGTCTAGCTCTCAACACATAAGATGAACAAATCCCATCTTAACTACATAAGCCTATTGTATAGTTCATACCAAACATGATAATGGCCTTTATAACTACCTGGACAAAGAACAACATTTAACCACGTTAAAGTATAATATGAAAGATATATGCCCAAGTGTCATTATAGAATGATATTGCTAAATAATATATGATCCTAAAGGGTCACACCGATATCAACTTGATGCAAATGTATTATTTATAAGAATTTGTTATGTTATGTATCATAAGGTATGATTTGTTATATCATGTACATATTTTTGGACCAAAAGGGTTTTTGTCTTATATGGAATTATATGTTTTATAAGTTATAACAATTAGAAGAGTTTTTATAGAAAAACAAACTTCTTCTTTTTATAAAACATTCAAGGAGACTATAAATAAGGAAGAAGATGTGCTTTTGATTAATTTATTGAACACATCATTCTCTTAGAAAGTATGGCAAGTTGATTTGATAAAGCATGAGTCTTAAAGTGCTAAGACCCATGGGATAAAGGCTTAAAGTAAGGACTTAAAAATACTAGTTTTCTCCCTTCTTTCTTGAGCCAAAACCAAAAACTTTGTGGCTTCCCATCTCCACATTCTCTCTAGTTTTTGTCTCTTAAAGTGTTAAGAACATAAAAATAAAAATGATACTTGAATACTCTCTTTTAAGGAAAACTAGTTTCTTTTTATTAAGATCTTAAGAGATTCTTTTATTACAACAAGAAGACTAGCATCTTATCAAGTTGATCTATTGTTGGTGGATATCTCTAGAGAACTTCTACTTTGAAGTTTCATTCCACACATCTGTTGGAACCTGAAAAGTGAACCTCTAGTAATCACAAGTAATAAAATCTGAAGTCAGGTGAGTCTGAGATTAGTGAAGTCCGAGATAGAGATTTAGTATGAGATGGAGATCAATCCGAGTTGGAAGGCAATTCTAAGATCCACAGTCTGTTCGGGCATTTAATGTTTCTTGTCTTATTATTGATGTAACATTTCATATTTCCTTTATGTATCTTTTTGATAATCAGATTGTCAGGGACTGATTATTACCCAGTCCTAGGAATGTTTCCCAGTTTGTATGATGTTCCTCCTTATCCTATTTAAGGAGTGATTTGAATGACAAGAAAACCAAGCATTGTTACTCCAAATAAAGCAAAAATTCTCTTTGTTTCACTTTTACTTTTCTCCCAAGCAAAGATCTTTCACAACATTCTTCTTGTTCAATAAATTTATTTACATTGATTATACTCCTAGTTTACTTCATTTAATATTGAGGACTTTGTTGAATCTTCTCTTCAAGTTCTAGCTGGGTTTACTTTGTTTAATACCAAGATCATCAAAACACTCGAGTTAGTGCACACTGATCTTTGTGGTCCATCGGCAATCTAAAGCATTTGTGGTAAAAAATATATTTTAGTTATCTTTGATGATTATTCATGATTTTCTTGGGTATTTTTCTTAAATAGAAATCAGAAGCCACGCAGAAGCTAATTAATTTTATCAAGTAACTGAAGTTGCAGTTACGAAAGCCTGTTCGGAATATACAAAGCCATAATCGTTCGAAATTCAAAAATCATATATTGGAAGAGTTTTTTACCAACTGAGGAATTTCCTACAACTTTTCTTCACCTTACACTCCTCAGCAGAATGGTGTTGTTGAAAGACGAAAATGTTCTCTTTGTGAAGTTGCAAGGATAATACTATCTTTTGCGAATCTACCTATGTATTTCTAGGCAGATGCAATAAAGTACAACATGGTTCACTCATAACCGCTCTAACATAAATAAAGGCTTTCTTGTTACTCCATATGAAATACTAAACAATCAGAAAACTAATGTGAAAATTTTTCATGTGTTCGTATTGATTGGTTTTGAGCATTCTAACACTCCTATGGTGTACATGCAACCCTAGAAACCTTGGATCTATGTTTGACTACGATACATGCAAATAATTATTATTCCAAGGTTCTTATCCTAACTAGAATGG